TTTTTTTTTTTTAAAAAAAAAAAGAGAATGTCCCACCTTCGGACCTATTTATCGGCCGGACCGAGCTCCGAAAATTCCGAAAAGACCTCCAAATAATTTGGTCAAAAATATGTCATCCAACAAGACCGGTCATGCAGCGGTCGACCGGTCAAACCGACAGAACTGGAGTCGGCCGACCGGTATTTTTCGGCCAGACCAATGGTGACCGCGTTAGGCGGCCGGCCAGGCCTCATCTGGCAGAACAGACTGGTCGGCCGGCCGCCTTGTTTTTTCCGCTTTATTTTTTAATTAAAAAACTTTAAATATTATAAAAAAATATTTTATAATAAATTTAAAAAATTAATAAGTAAAATATATTAATATATATTTTATCATTAATGAATTTTTTTTGTAATTAATATATATATATATATATAATTAATATATATTAATAATTTGTGTATATTAATTAGTATGTATATTATTAATTTTTTTTTCACGCTTTTTGTTAAACTTTTAAAAATGACTAAATATTAAAAATGAATTTATATAATTTCATACATATTATTATATATTTTATGATAAACTAAAAAAGTAATAATTAAATATTATTAATAATTAAAATATATTAATAATTTAAATTAATATATATTAAATAAACAATAATTTCATATATATTATTATATATTGATATATATGAATATATATTAATATAGATTAATAAAATTAATATATATTAATAAAGTTAATATATTATATTATATATATTATATTAGTATAGTTATTATTATGATAGTTTAATATAATTAATCATAATAGAAAAAAAAAGTATATTAGTATAAATTATATTAGTATATAAAATTTTATTATTAATTAGTATAATAATTATAAATTATAATAGTATAAGATATAATTAAGTATAATAGAAAAAAAATGTATCAGTTTAAATTTTATTACGTTATAAATTAGAATTAATTATCTTATAAAATAAAATTTATTGATATTATGTTAGAAGTTAGAAATTATTGTGTTGTAGATTAGAATTGATTATCTTGTAAAATATAATGCATTAATAATATGTTAGATGTTAGAAATTATTGTGTTATAGATTAGTATTGATTATCTTATGAAGTATAATTTATTGATATTATGTTAGAAGTTGAAAATTATTTTGTTATAGATTAGAATACATTTATTTTGTTATAGATTAGAATACATTATCTTATGAAGTAGAATTTATTGATATTATATTAGAAGTTAGAATTGATTGTATAATAAATTACAAATTATTATTATTATTATGTTAGAAATTATAATTGATTATTTTGTAAAATTATTAACATACATCGTAATATATTGCAGGTGTCAGTCGAAGATTTTGGAGGAGATTGTGTTGATTACAGCCTGCTTTCATTACAAATGACCTATTTGATAGTTGTGAATAAGCTATTAAATGAGCAAAAGATATTGCAATTATATGGAGTTTCGAATTGATCATCTCGAAACACGAAAAAGAAGGAAAGCAAAAGGTGTTGAGGTGTTGTAGGAGATTTAGTTAATGTTGTTTTGAGACGTTCGAAAACTAAAGCGTCCAAATGTCCTTTTCTGATAAAGTCAAATTTGTGGCAGAATAAAAAAATGGTGTATGTGGGTTCCTTATGATGATGAGAAGGGAATGCATGATCATGCATTGGCTGTGAAGCCACTACAATGGTGGGATCGACGCCGCACTCGATCGGATAAGATGGGATGGGGATGCTTGTGACGAGGAACAGTGGATGGAGGTTATAGCCGACCTCTTTCCTATTGCTACACTGGTTAATGCAGTTGTCGTGTTGTTAGGTTGTGGTCGCAAAAATAACAATATCGACTAGTTTAGTACAAACACTTCATTCGTCTGAATCTGTTTTCTAAGTTTCCATTACCGCCTATTTGTTATTGTTGGGAGAGATACCGAGAGGGACGGTTCAAGGATGGGATGATCACTACTAGAGTAGGATCCAGTTGTGGCGTGATATTCGTAATGGAGCTGGATTTTGATATATTATGATATTCGACTTAAGTTTGTGATTGATGACATTCATTCTATAAGATAATTCATTATAATTTATAATTAATAATTTTTAAATTTTCACTATAAGATAATAAATTCTAATTTATAACATAATAACTAAATTATAATACAATTTAAATAATAAATAAAAATTTGATTATAAAAAAATCAAGATAAACTCGTGTGGCCTAATTATATTACATTACTAATTATAATTTCACTAATATATATAATATATTAATTATAACCAAGGTTCTGAAAATCGGACCAGTCATCGAACCGGTCTTGCTACTGGTTCAATGGTTCACTGGTTCGACCAATGTTGAACCGTTATTTAATTTTCAATACTTTTAAATATATATATATATATATAATACTTTATATGATAAAACTTTTATATATAATTATGTTAATTAAATATTAAGATAATTTAAAACATTCAGATATTTAAACTAACTAATAGTAATTTATATATATCTATAATATTTAAATATTTTTTATTTCCCTAACAAAAAAAAAAAAATCAAAGTGGGATGATAAGTGCATTTTTTTTATGTAAAAGCCCATAATGTTTTTCCATATTTATGTTCATTTAGTTAAATATAATTATTTAGCAATTTAAGATAATAATAAGTTTAATTAATGATAATGTGATATTCATCTTGACATACATAGTGAAAGCGTGTTAGAGCATGAATCATTTAGTCCCACATTAATTTTGAAACCAAAAAAAAAAAAAATGCAAAAATAGCTACAAAAGGCTAGTGGTCTGGGACAATCCCACATTCGGTACAAATACAATAATAAAGGCCAACAGTGGCTATAAAATATTGGGAGACTGAAAACTTTTATTTGCAATTATCCCACATCGAACGAGAAAGTCCAATGAAATATGTTGTAGCAACTTGCCTTAATAATTATTTTATGGTTTCTCTAATATCTAATAATAATAAAGAATTATGGCCCCGTTTGGAAGATAGCGGATTGAGGATAAATTAGCGGATTGGACTTAATTGAGAGGTTTGACCCGTCAAATCCGCTATTGAGTTTGTTTGGTAAATAACTTATTTGATAACTTTTTAGGCCCAAAACTCTAATTTAGAAAAAACTCATTAGAGGAGTTTTTTGGGGATAGAGGATTCACAATCTACAATTTTAATTTAGAACTTTTTAATTTGTATTATTTATTCTACAATCTACATTGGTTTATGATGCTAACAAATAATAATATGTCATCTATATGATTAATTTATCTAGAAAAATGTAAAATTCATAACTTCTTGATCAATTGTTAGTAAATTTTTTTTTAAAAAAATAGATATTTATAAATTACCAACTAAAAAATATTAAATGTTTTAATATATTACTAGTACATACCCCGTGCGATGCACGGAACATAGATATTAAATGAGTTATTTTAACAGCCTTGTCTGTTTAAATCTTAAAAGTAATAGTGTTATTATCTATTTTCTACCTCTTTTAATCAACGTTAAGTCTACAAAATAATAAGGTTATAAGCTTTTTTCATATCTTTTAACCAACATTGTTTTTTAGCCAGAACATTAAATATGAGTATGTTAGGGCTAGCTTGTAAAATAATTAATATATTATATCACTAAAATATTTATACTAATAAAACTTTAATTTCAGTATATAAATTTATCCCTTGATATAGGAAAAGGTAACAGTTTTGTATATTCTTGTTCATCATATAATATTTAATTATTACTTTATTATATAATAAAAAAGAATAGTGTTAAATAGTTTTTTTTTAACACAAAGATTATATTAAAAAAATATAAATATCCCTACAAATATACAAACCAAGTTTTTTTTATAGTTTTTTATAAGTTTTATAAAAATATATTATACTTTGTTAGTGTATTATTCAAAATCGTAATATTGATTTGTAGTTTTTAGAAATAGAATTTTGATTGTTTTTGCTCACCCCATTTTATGGGATTTATTATGTCAAGATAAGAATGATTAAAAATAATATGTAAAATAGGAAACTTGATTAAAATTATAAATGCATTAATTACTACTTGATAAAATTAGAAGTTCATTAATTAAGGTTGACTTTTCTACCTACTATATTTGGTAAATAGGTTTCCCTTTAATATAAGTATAGATTATTAAAAAAATACACCCTAAATAATAAAATGTCTTTATTGGTAATTTGCAATGTCAAACAGCTATAAGCTTTCAGCTATTTACCAAACACTTATTTAAAAACCGCTAATGCAATCCGCTAGACAAATCAGCTAATATAATCCGTTATCCGCTATCCGCTAATACAATCCGCTATCCGCTGATCGCCAAACAAGGCCTATATATTTTTTAAAATATTTAAATTATTAAAAAAAAATTGGGCCAGCCGCCGGCCGAAAAGGGAACGGTTGGCCGCT